TTGATACCTTGACAGCAGACAGAACGACACCTAAGCCGCTCACAGTTCATGCTGATTTTTCCAGTTTTTTTACTCTTCTTAGATTTTAAACACTTAGAAAAAATCTTTTTCTTTCAACCTAACAATGGGATCGCTACACTTAATGTATTAGCCAAGACCATGTGAGCTTTATACCCTATAGAAAAGCAACAGACATTGTGCAGCGTCTTCTTCATCTTATACACATCAAATCTCTAGCTCTATTCTCATTAGAGATAAAAAAAATAGCCTTTTGACTCTGTCCTATGGCCCTTTTTGTTCTATACTCTTGGCAGATAGGGTTTTGGTCCATTATTTATAAATTGAATAAGGGCACTTTACACCAAAAGCTTTCATTAAATGCGCAGGATTTTGCTCCCTGAGAATTCCAATTTCCAGAAGCACACCTCAAGGCTTCCCCATTTCCCCTCTCCTTTTTGCTTTCATGCTTGAAACTCTGGCCATAGTGATTTATCACAATCCTGATATAGGATATTGGAAGTTTAATGGTAAGAACACAAAGTTTGTATGTTCGCAGATGACGCCACCCTCTTCATTGCCAATGCCCTCAAATCACTGCCAACTAGGACACAAGTACTTTTTGAGTCAATTTCAGTCTTACAGGTCAACCATAACAAGTCAAAAGCCTTGAACATCAATTTGGCAGTGCATACAGTCACTGGAAAATGAAAAGCATAGAATATCAGGGTATCTGCATGACACCAAGAATATATGCATTATATTCAGCAAACTTCCCAGCACTCCTGAGATAGATTAAACAAACAAATCCTTGAGTTATGGAAATGCTATCAAATTTCATGGCTGGAAAGGATAGCTATATTAAACATGATCTTGAATAAAAGATACATAAAATCTTGTATCCTTTCATGGTTTTGCCAATATACATCCCATCTCAAATCTTCTGCCTGCTTTAGTGTACCTTTCTCCAGTTTATTTATGTTGATTCCAAACATCAGGTTTCAAAAAAAAATGCAGCTTTTATCCCAGATAAAAAAAGCGACCAGCCTTTCAGTACCTCATATATCTAGTTACTACTCTGAAATCCAAATAGCTCCTTTACTCCCGTATCACATTAAGCTACGCATTCCTTATTGAGTAAGCATAAAAGATTCAGAATTTACCCCATTGCACTGGTATTTTATTATGACTGGTACTATCCCAAATCCTCCTTCATTTTCATTTAAATTGACACCAAATGTAAAATAAATGTTCTCAATCAGTCTCTAAAAATTGAGATAGTGTAATATATTCCTGAATACTGATATATCCAAGCCTCCCCTTGGTCACCATTGTACATAACCTTCTTTTTTCCCATAATTCCAGGAACCCCATAGATTTCGACTTGGATAAGCAGTGGCCTACATGGAAACATAATTTTATCTCCCTTTACTGCTAAATCTTAAATTTCAGCACCATAAAAAAACATAAAATACCATCATCCAAAGTATTTTTCTGTTTACAGATTAAAAGCTTCTTTCACCACAAGCCCCCCCTTTCCTCCAGTCGCTTACTCCCTTTGAGCACTTTTATCCTCACATTCCCCAGATAAAGGGTACTGTCTCTGTAATCTGTCTTTCTTTATTAGAGGTCAATCACCCATATCTTTCTTTATTAGAGGACAATCACCCCTCTTTCTTGTCTTTTGTGGTACAGTGAGAAAGGGTCCTCCACAAACAGTTTGAACTAAATGCTTGGAGCCAAATTTGGGACACCACAGTTGGCTGATCCATTAACTGAATGGCAAAAGAGCCCAACTATAAAGTACTTTAATGCTGGTGTATGATGCCCCAGAAAATAGCTAAGTTAATGATGGAAGATTAAACTTTTCATTTTTATCTTCATAACAGCCAAACAGTCCTTGACAAAGGCAAAGAAATTGGCATTGCCAGCTGAATTGCAGGTTAAGTGAAAATGTATTGGTACTTGATAACCACCTTTTAGCAATATTGCTTAATTCTGTGCACAAATTCCACAGGAGGTCAGGATACCGAGGATATCACATTTTATGCCTTATGATTTTGTCTGCATCCACATTCTCCAAAGCCTTCCCCTGCCTTCCTCTTACTTCCTCCCTCTTCTCTCTTATATTATTTTAGCTATTTTTCTCTTCTCCCCATCTTCAGCTCAGTGCATACACAATTTGTTTCTTTATTATTTGTAGGCTTGTCACACAATGCAAACTGCTTTCTCTAGCACCTTTCTGTGTTGCTCTCACTTGATATGTGCAGCTGTCAGATTTGTTTTACACACTATTACTGTCAGTGGCTTTAGCTGCTAGCAGTAATCATCGTGCTCTGCCAGCCGGGAAGGCTCCCCATGACAACCCCCCCCTTGGGCAGAACACAATAACTCTACGGGAGAGATTTCCCCATCAACACTGACTGGGATGAGGAAGGGGAATCGAGTAAGGCAAAGGAAAGAAAATTGATTCAACTATGGCTTGCCTTAATTTGCTGCCCCCTAAAATTCTGCTATATTGCCACAGTTTTTTTTGGTATGCACACAACACATATTAAAATCATTCACAAAAAAAAAAAGATCTTTTTTGTTTTACATATGAATTTAATTATTCCTTGAAAATGCCATTTCTTTAGAAAATGTGAAGCTCAAATACACATTTTGACAAAATAGTGATCCGGTTGTATGGTGGTATTATTACATCATGTCATATTCAGAATATCTTGTTTTAGCAATTTCATATTTGTAAAATTGTTGTTTACATTAATTATGAACTAGTGCAGTAAACTAGGGTGACCTGTGTTGTACAGAAACCCCTAACAGTAAGAGATTAGCTTTCACTATTCTCTAATCTCTGAGCTGTTGAAAAAGTATTTCTGTTTCCCATAGGAAACTGCTTTTAGTTGCTGTTCGCACAATGTAGGCTTTAACTTTAGGACTGCTGATACAGCAAGAAAAATATGATCCTTGGTCCCAAAGCTATTCTCTACGGTACTAGAGATGCTTTTATGACTTTTGTTTTCCTTTTAATGTCCTAAAATCTGGCATATTTCCCCCATCCAGGTCACTTGTTTGTGCTTACAACTCAATCAGGCCTATTATCAGTGTGCTGCAACACACATTAAGGAAAGAAAAAAAGAATGTGTTTTGGTCTGTTGTGTGAACAAATAAAGCACATCTATGCAACATGTTACAGTTAGCACGTTTTGATTCATTGTGTTGCATTGATGTATATTTTTTTAATGCATTGCATTGATTTGTAGGGTTTTTTTGTAATGTGTCACAATGCATTTTGTTAACCACTTGCCCTCCTGAGGATTTACCTCCCTTCCTGACCTGGCCATTTTTTGCTTTACGGCACTGCGTTACTTTAACTGACAATTGCGCGGTCATGCAGTGCTGCACCCAAATGAAATTTACGTCCTTTTTTCCCACGAATTGAGCTTTCTTTCACTGGCATTTGATCGCCTGTGTGATTTTTATTTTTTGCACTATTAAAAAAAAAAAGACAAACAATTTTGAGAAAAAAAAAAAAATTTTTTAACTTTTTGCTATTAAACAAGCCCAGTAAAAAAATGTAAAAAATCAAATTTTGTCATTGCTACATGTCTTTGATAAAAAAAATCCCAATACGTGTAAATTAATCGGTTTATGTGAAAGTTATAGCGTTTACAAACGGCGGTATATATACTAGGATTATTTTACTATTATGTTTATTTCTACTAGTAATGGCGGCCCCATTCTCCTCTCCATCAGAGATGCTTGGCAATCACTGGGCGTCGGCAAGTAATAACCAGCCGGGACCCGGTGATTGACAGCCACGGCCGTGAATGGCGGCATGAGTAGGGTGTAAGTGCACCCCCTACCCCGAAATGCAAAATCATGGATATATTATTAGTATTATTATTATTTATAAAGTATTTTATATAGCGCCAAAGGGTTTGCTCAGCGTTGTACATTAGAATGGGGGTCAAGACATGAGACAATACAGTAGCAAAACAATACACGATACACAAGGGTTAAAGGGCCCTGCCCTTTCGAGTTTGCAGTCTAGGAAATATATACGTGATTTTGCGCACCCGTTCCACCCTGTAGCAGTATTTTTGCTATTGGGTGGTCAGGAAGCGGTTAAATGCAGCATATTCTGTTTTCACTTAGAGCACACAAATTCAATGCATTGTTATAAACTGGGTGTACTGGCAATATTGGATTTTACCCCAACATATCCCAATGGACACACTGCCAATGGGCTGTTTGTCTCTGCTGACACTTGCACCTCAGCTTTTGCATTTGGACTAGGTTTTGTGTATCTTACTATGACCTGAGTGGTCTATGATATCTGGTCTTGTTTGTTTATCTATATTGGCTTTGAATTCTGTCCTTGTTTTGTATATTTGCTTGCTCCTGGTTATAACTATGGTGCACTGGCACTGTTTCTGTCAGTCTACAGTTCTACTAAACAGTCCCATGGGTTGTGTGCTGAGAACTGAACTCTTGTGAGATGTTTCCTATGATATACTCCCTGACCATCTGCTTCTGCATGCTGGCTTTGTGCTCGGACTAATGTTCTAGCTGTATCCTGGATTTCCACTATGTACCTGTTATCAAGCCTGTTTACCCCAAAAGTTCCCAAAACAGCTAGATTTGGCCAGCTACCCATGACTTATGACTTATTATATGTCCCTGTTTGCAAATGGAATAAAGTTATCTTCTGCGTATAGATTCAATTTATTACCCCTAATATTTTGTTTACAAAACTTGGTACATCTTGAAAACATAAAACATTCATACAGTTACACATGGATTTTGCTAAATGGATGCTAAAAAAACTTTTATGTGCAATAGTGAATTCTTATACAAAAAGTTTGGTATGTCACTTCAGTAATCTGGCTTGCTACATATTTGATTCAACTAGTCATCATATTCTTTAAATTATTCATGATGAAGAGAACTTTTTTTTTTGTTAGAATTATCAGACTGCCCACTCCTTTAATTTTTTGCAGGATTGTTTGTGAAATGGGTCCAGCCCCACCTACATTTAGTTCTGGGCCAGTGCTTCTTTGCGTTGGAGAATGTAAACCAGAGTTCATGGCGCGATCCTTACAGCAGTACAGCTTTGTGGTGAGTAAGCAATGATATCTGTGTGATGATTTTCATAGTTAATTCATTACCACTATGTTTTGTTTCTTTTCTTTATAAGGTAAAGGGTTTGGACTAATTAGCAAAAAACAATCTTCATTTGCTGCAAACTTTTTCTTGTTTACTCGTGTGTCAGTGTTATTCAATCAGCATGACAGCCAGGCTTTCTCGGAAAGAGGTCAGCAGCTGCAGCCTATATATGTCAGCACATGTTGTATATCTGACTGTTTAAATGCTATGGCACTCATGAAGCAATTGTTTGCATGGCTTGGGCTGTGATAAAGGAAGGTTCATCTATTACTACAGATGACACATAAGTAGATGTGGAGTTTGCTTTAACCACTTCAAGTCTGGACACTTTTACCCCCTTCCTGTCCAGGCCAATTTTCAGCTTTCAGTGCTATCACACTTTGAATGACAATTGCGCGGTCATGCAACACTGTACCCATATGAATTTTTTTGCATTTTTTTGAGACAGCTAAAGCTTTATTTTGATGGTATTTATTATGTAACTGAAAAAGTCCACAAATTTTGAAAAAAAGTATTTTTCTTATAAAAGTTTGCAAATAATATTTCATCATACATCTTGGCCAAAATTTATTCCATTATCTTTTTAGTAAAAAAAAATTTTTTACATTTTATTTTATTTTTTTATATTATTATTTATGTTTGTTTTTTTTTTTACATACTGTCACCCTAGCAGTACAGTGCTTTACACTGATTGCTTTCACACCCATAAAGGCTGTAAAAGCAATCATTTCTCCTTCTCTCTGGCTGCATTCTTGCAGCCATTGAGAACTACTGTGTGAGCTGTGATTGGTCACAACTTGTCACATGGTACAAGGCTGTTGTGAATAGCCTTGTACCATGTGACCTCTGTGATCATTAACAGTTTTCACACGTAGTAAGCAATGATGTCAGAAGTGACATCTGACATGATCAGGACCTCGCACAGGGGTCCCGTGCGACGATCGATGTTCCACTGTGTCCGGAGGACACAGCGGGCACTGGATCTCAGTGCTGTGCGCTCCCAGGGAGCACGCACAAGCAGGGGGCGGGGAGGCCATTTATAAACGGCCACTCGCCCCTGCACTGCCACCGCCCTGCCGTTTATATACAATGGCCGGATGGGAGGTGGTTAAACAAGAGATTTCTTTTAACCCTAATAGTGGTAATAAAGTAATCTGCCACCCCCACACAGAAGCTGGTTGCTAGCCTGCATGCAAGATTTGGTAAGTTAGGCAAAATGACTACTGCAAGCTGGGTACCACCCACAACCGTACCCACTGATTTACTTTTGTCATTCACCCCTGCATGTCCAAATGCTGTCTGTGAAAATAATATATGTGAAAGTGTTATCAAAACAAAATTAAACAACAACAGTGAAGTCCATCAATTAGTCCATCAACTATTACCTCTAGCTTCCCTAATTCCTCACAGTGAAAAATAGTTCAAGCTGTAGAATATAATCAAATCAATTCTTCCAGCGATCTCCCCGATGCATATACCTCAAAAAAAGAAAATATCACATAGTGCATTACCTTTTATAAACATAAATATTCATTTCATACCATGCAATTTATGCAGTGAATAATTGTGAACAAAATAGTGAAAAATCGTGAAAAACGTGAAATCTGTGAAAACACTGTGTATGTGAATCACTCTTCAGTGCCACACAAAAAAATGCAAACTGGTGTGCACTTCTACTTATAGTAAGGATACCCTTACCAACAATCCTAATAAAGCATGCCTATAATAGTCCAACAGCTGAACAAAACAGTTCTCCTGTTTTGTTCAGCTGTTGGACTATTATAGGCATGCTTTATTAGGATTGTTGGTAAGGGTATCCTTACTATAAGTAGAAGTGCACACCAGTTTGCATTTTTTTTTGTGTGGCACTGAAGAGTGATTCACATACACAGTGTTTTCACAGATTATTTCACGTTTTTCCTGATTTTTCACTATTATTTTCACAATTATTCACTGCATAAATTGCATGGTATGAAATGAATATTTATGTTTATAAAAGGTAATGCACTATGTGATATTTTCTTTTTTTGAGGTATATGCATCGGGGAGATCGCTGGAAGAATTGATTTGATTATATTCTACAGCTTGAACTATTTTTCACTGTGAGGAATTAGGGAAGTTAGAGGTAATAGTTGATGGACTAATTGATGGACTTCACTGTTGTTGTTTAATTTTGTTTTGATAACACTTTCACATATATTATTTTATACACCTTCAGGGGAGGGTGTTGTTTGTGTTGTAGGGGAGTTTTAGTTGTATTTTTGGAGGTGGTTTTTGATTGAAATATGTCTGTGAAAATAACTGCTGCTTCCAGACATGGAGAAGCCTGTGACTTTCTCAGAGCCCTCATAAATGCTGAATGCTTTTGGATATGGGTGAGCATGTAACTGTCTCCCCTTCCTCCTAGGATGCACCATCTGGTGAGGAAAGAGGGAAAGGTTGACCCTGTTTAAGCACCAACATTAAATGGCAAATTACAGATTCCTAATAATTATTCCCAGTGTTCACTGCAGTAGTTCTCTGATTTGGTTTACCCACAAAGCATTACCTGTTCTGGAGCTGAATGCTATCCAGGAGATGCCTCTAAGAGCAAGGATAAAATTCATACCACATTGATCTCTTCTGAGCCCATTTTGTTTCCTTTGGCCCTTTTTTCTGCACATTGTCTACAATTTACTTTGCTAGCTCAAAGCTAATTGTAATATGAAAGCAGAAGTTCTCATCTCCTATCAGCTGCACTATGTCATCCCTAGCAGCAAATTATAGGTTGGTTCAAGCTCATGATAAAATGACACATTTCTTCTGCAAAAATCAATGCTAAGCTTTCTGCAGCTGAACTGCACAAGGCCATAACTGTCACTCTGTGTTTTATGATGTTATTTAACAATAGTATTTTGGAAATGACAAGGAAAAAGAGGCTCGATTCTCACCTATGTGTTCGGGCACATTGTGGGTATAGTTCACTGTAGGTGCTTGTTGATTTGTAGGTGCATGTTGCGTGCTGTACCTTCTATGATTATGCAGTCCATGTTTTGCTGGAAACTGCATTAAAGATGCAGAAAGCAGGAGGTATCAAAAGTGCTTAAAACTAGGTCATTAAAGTATTGGAACCAATTTAGAATTAAACAGGGCATCTTATGCTAAAATCATTGCTCTCACTCTGTCATTCATGGCGATACCTCACGTTTGGTGAAATCACCTTTTCCATATGCATGTGAGACCTACGTTTATGTTCACATTTGCATGTAAGCATGGAGTCTATTAGACCTCTGGGGTCTATTAGCAGCTGATCAAACTGAGATTGGTTTGATCAGCTGTTTCACTAGCCTGTAATGGCCAATAAACAAACAGAGGAAACTGGAACTGATGAAATCCTTGTCACTTTCAGTTTCTTGCATCACAGAGGAAGTTCATCTGACTCCTCAGTGTCTTTTCAATGCGAAAGGTTGTGGTGGCAGGGAAGCTCTTTCCTGCACCCTGTAAAAGTGATTAGACAGCTCTAGAACCCCCTGGGATCTCTTTTACAGAAAAGCCCATCACCTGCTCTAAAAAAAAAAGATACCAGGATCATGGTCCTGGTATAACTACTTCCAACCAAGGACTTATGGGTACAACCTGAGTGTAGGAATCAGAAAAAAAAATCACAACAGAATGCGCTAAGGGACCTGTGTTGAGGCTTGATGAAGACTAACATCTCCTGCCACCCTATAGTGTTTTGAAAAGTTGGGTGTTAACATTAACTAAACCCTACCTCTTCCAGGATCTGTCTATGGTTTATTTTCTGGGTAGCTCCGCAAATATCAAGTTAGATATTAATTTAATGTCATGGTCTGTGAGATTTTCTATTTTTTTGCTAGATCTTTTTCCTCAATTTTATTCTGTCTGTAGTAGATTTTTTGCTGAAGCTACAAAGCAGATTGATTGTTAAGTAGAGTATTTGTTAGCTGCATAATGCATAAAAGCAAAAGAGTAATTGTATTAGTAATTATAGAATGTATCAGGAACAACACTGGAGCTTAGTTTTGGAAGTGTCTGAAATGAGCAACGTTTGTGTTGTCCAGTTAGCTTTCTAATGTCATACTGTAGGTACAGTTTAAAACGTAAAAGGGAAAAAGATTGTTAGTACAGTGAAGAGCATTCCATTTCTCAAAATGTTATGCAAAAGATCCACATTGCCTTCTACCTTTTTTATCTTTATTTTCAATGTTGTTCACAACACAAATAAAAGTACAGTATGGCAATACAGTCAATCATCTTCGAATGTTTATGAAGTGTTTACATAAAAATAACATGCTTTTGTATCAATGCGCATTACAAATAAAGTTATAAAAATAAGCTTGAATGAATAATTACGTACGCTTAAATTGAATGTTTGAAAATGTACTTTTGTTTGTTCAATTTTTCAGAATCCAACTGTTTCCCATCTTAGCCCAAGCCGGGGTCCTGAATCTGGGGGTACCATGATAACAATAACAGGCCATAATCTTGGAGCTGGTAGTACCGTTTCCATCCGCTTTGGAAACCAAACCTGTGAATTCTATGGGTGAGTATAAACAATAATAATAATAATCTTAATAGAAGTATAGGCTTTTGAGAGTGTTGTTGCATCAAAAAGATAGAATACAATTATAAGTGGAGCCTGATGTGCTGAAGCAGCTCCTAGCTGTCTGCTATGATTACCAACTACGCTCCTGTCAGTCTAGAATTAGGGTTTTTCTTGCCCACCTTTGTGTTCTGTCCCTGCTGCATTCCCTATAATGTAAAAAAAAAAAATAATTTGTTCCCTGATCCACTCTGATGTTTGTGAAGTCAGAAGGTCTTAGAATTTCTGGTTTCAGAGCTGTCATTCCCCAGTTGCTACAGCCAGGGAAGCAATTAATCAAGCACAATCTGTGCTTGATTAGCTGTATTGAAGGTCAGGAGAGATACTGAGGTCTAATAGACCCCGATGTCTCCATAAAGGGTACCAGTCACCTGCCTAATGATATCACATAGAGGGTTTGTTGTGTATACAGTTGTACTAATTTGTATTTAGTGTGGTAACTACACAATTACTGAATTACTGACATATTTAGAGTTGGTGATTTTATTCATATTTGCCTGCAATCACTTACTGTTTTCAGCCATTAAGGAAAGGTCTAGATTTATTCTAGTGGCAGTAGCAGGGGAAAATCCCAGAATGCAAATATGGATTTTCGGACTAAGGTACTAATTTTCAGCCCTCATGTAGTCAGTGATTCCTCTTTGATCCTTGATGTAACAACACCGTTGTAAAAAAAGAATGTCATGTTAAAGTGTATAGAAATCTTAATAATGCATTTCTTTTATTTACTCCCTTTTGGTCTGGTAAATATACCAGAAAGCATTTTGGTATATCTGTTAAATAAGTGCAATAACTGAGCGTATAATGTCCTGTGCTGGACACTTATTATTCAAAAATAGTAAGCTGCAATACTTCACATTTTTGTTGGGTTTAGATAGACTTTAATTACCATTAAGGTTTTGGCTCTGTGGGACATTATGTTTTCTCAACAAACAGTTGCAAGCACAGTAATATTTTTCTCAGGATGTGAAATGGTCCAAAGGTTTTCTACCCCTGCTAAGCCACACTGTCACTGGCTACAATGGGATTTTTTCAGCAGGTCCTGGACAATGTTTTGTGGTCCGAGACCTGCTGATCAGCTGTAGCCGATCACAGCACAGAGTCCTATGTTTACAAACACACAAGGCTCTATACACGGATCAATATTTTTTGTCTTTTTTCGTTTATATAATGAAAAATTTTAAAAAAAAAAAACCCAGTGGTGATCAAATACAACCAAAAGAAGGCTCTATATGTGTGAAAATAATTATAAAAATGGTATTTGTGCACAGTGTTGCAATTAACAGTTAAAGTAGCGCAGTGCTGAATAGCAAAAAAAAAATGCTCTTGTCATAAAGGGGGTTAAACTCTCCGGAGGTCAAGTGGTCATATAGCTCATGTAACTACATTTAGAGACCAAACACCATTATCAGAACTATTATGGTCCAAGGTAACTGCAGTATTTGGAGGGTGTAGTCTACTATTGGTGTGATTTTAAAGACAACAGTTTGCTGTAACGCATCTTTTTATCTACACATTAAAAATGGTAATTGTAACAGGCCTGGATCTAACCTATCTGATCTGAAGGTGCAGTAGAAAAAAAATAGATTGCATAATGTCAGTAGTGTGACAGAGATGCAGGGAACCAGTATTCTTTATTCACTCAGCACAATTCTGTACAACAACCCGGAAGAAATGTCTGACAGGTAGTTCAGAGGTGATGCAGGAATGAACAGGGAATTCTAGTATGTATCAGACTGTCATTAGATTAAAGTGATTAAACAGAACCTGTGCCTTCTTTTTATAGGTGTCCCTATCAGAGTCCTCATCAGAGTTCCCCTTTACATCAGGGTTCCTATAAGGGTACCCCCTTACATTGGTTGTCCCCATTATAATGTCCACTTACATCAACTGTCACCATCAGAGTACCCCCCTACATGTATTGTCTCCATCAGAGATCAGAGTGCCCCCTTACATTATTTTCCCCCATCAGAGTGCCACTCACACTCTCAATGACCTGATCAAATGACCTGATCAGAGCTCCCCTTTTGTCAATTGTCCCCAATAAGTCTCATGGAATAGTGGATGTACTCTGATATCTGGGGGTGCACTAAAATCTGGGGGGGGGGTTACAGCCCACCCCAGCTCCCCTCTCCTAAATCCAAGCCAGAAATGTAAAGGAAATATTTAAAAACATGTAACAAACACGTTTAAGTTCGAATTTGGGAATGTTTAATATCTTAGTGGAAGTGCTGTCACCTTGAACAAGCTGCTAACATGCTTCCAGTATACTTGCCCAATATGGCACGCATACCACCAACTGTGTTGTCCTCCAGCAATGATAGGTCCAGAATCTTGCCACCACTGCATCCCTTGCCAACACTTTGTTTGGGTTCCTTGCCGGTCCTCTTCAGCCATTGGACATCCAATGATGATGTATCTCTTGCACATGCCAAGAATAGAGCCAGGATGTATACCACATGGCAATGTGCCATGCAGTGTATACAAAGGACAAAAAAATCACCAGCGTTTAAACAAAATTAATGTGAGCATTCCTTTTTTGCCATGCACACTGCATGTTCTGAAGATCAAATCGATGCCAAGGTGTCCCCTCTTTCTAAAGGTGGGAGTTCTATGTTCCTTTGGGAACACTTACTGTAGTCAGTGCATAGCTGGGGAGCCTGATTAGATGAAGAATTTTATAATCAGGATGAAGATGATGATAGCTTTCTGCTCTTTAGTCTGTGCACCAAGTCGTGGGTAGATTCTGCATGATGGGATAATAATTGTAAGGGAAGCTAACCAATTTTAATTATTGAAAATGAGAGGAAACATGTACTAAAAAAATGCGACAGTGGATATGTAGAGAAGCAATGGTCAGTGGGGATTTTTCATAACATTGCATAAAGCAGGGATATCAAGAGTATGGGGGAAGAACCAGGGTAAATGGATAAGTAAAACCAAAGCAGAGAGAGAGAAAGAAGGGGAATTTAAATCTGGATTCATCTATGTTGTTGTTGGAGAGTTCTGCTCACTTGCTGACCGGTAAAACGTTGTTAGCAGAATAAGAAGTGCGGTTAAATCCCTCTCTAATGAAGCCCCAAATACCAGTAAAAACATGACAGGGGTTGTACACCTTCCCCACTTAATTAAAAAGTAAGAAACAAATGGACATGCACTTTAAACAGCTATAGTCCTAAAACATCTACTACAATTTTACAGTGTGTTTTGTTCCATTTATGACGCTAAAATTGTTTCTGGTACAAAGCATAACAAAATAATCTACAAATTAAATAAAGGCAGTTATAAAACTTCTTTATTCAACCCTAATAAAAGTAATAAAAGAAAGGTAATTTCCATTCAAAAAGCAATACAAACAGCATGGAAAAACAAGTGGGTGGGAGATATTTAATTAGGCCTAATTAGCTTAACTAAGGACTATTGATGAGTTAAATGAGAAAAAGTTTTATTAAATAGTTATTGTTTACAACTGCAACTCTGTTAAGATTTTTCTTCATTTTCTATCTGTACAGGACAAACATACAATTTGTAGTAGATTGAGGAAGGGATAGGACTTCTCACAATTTTGTTGTTCACTGCCCACACTGCCAGAACCTGCCCCATCCATGCAGTGCTGTATTTAGGTTTTGTGCTGCCCTGGGCAACACAAAAATTGGCTCCCTCCCAAGGAGAGACCCTGACACTGACAAACACCCCCCTCCCCCAGAAAAAGAGCCTGACATTAACCAACAACACCCCACCCAAGAGAGCCTTCCACTACCACTTCCCCCCTCCATACACTGGCAACCCCCCCAAACCACCCTAGCGAGAGAGAAAACACTTACCTTCACAGCTCCGGACATCCCTGTGAACAAGAGTCAGGCTCTGCATACACCATCAAGCAGCCCCTCTCAGATCCCACCAGGTTCCCATGCTGTGTGTGTCCTTTCTTCCATGCCTTCTTTTGGGGGGTAGTGCTGCCCCCCAGAAAAATGCTGCTGCCCCCCTGAAAAAATGCCACCCTAGGCAAATGCCGTGTTTGCCTTCTGGTAAACACGGCCCTGCAACCATGCAAAAACAACATTTTTCATGGAGAGTGTTGATCTCCTGTGTCACAATGGAGATCTCCATGTCACTACTGTATAGAGGCCTGCAGAAGAAACCATTAGGGGATCCAAGAGATCAACATTTTCAGAACTGTCAGCCTGCCTGTGAACTTGGCAAGAAGAGGTCTCATGGATGGAGTAGTATTTGTTCTTGTGGTGCAGACAGTGGGAAAGATAAGCACTGACAGTCTTCCTTTACAAGAATGACCGTTTGGTGAAAGGGATTTAGCTTTAATGACAAGGATGCTTTAATTATTTTGTTATGCATCATGTTTGATAGTGCTCAATGATGTCAAGGGAGAAGTAACAATTTTATGTACCCTGTCATATGCTTATCTGAAAGGCAAGCATTATTATGTACAATATGCTAATGTCTAATGGGGTTTTATACCCCTGCTTAATTTGAACATTTGGTAAATTACTTAGTTGTATTTGGAATTTATGCTGCTTCCGAATTTAAAAAGAAAAAGGAACAGTGTAATCTTTTGATATTTTTGTGTTTAAGCATCACATATGTAGTTGGTACAAGAGACTCCCTATGTTTAGCCTTATAATTAAAAAAAACATCTCTGCACTTATATTGATGAGAAGCTTTTGCCGACAGCTTCTCAATAGATAATGTTGGAGTTGAATTATGTAGTCATTTTGGGTCAAGTGCAGAAGTTTCAACTGCAGGCATTTCTGCTCTCTGTTTGGGTCCTAGAGATGCAATGTACAACACTTTGGTAATGGTTATAAACTGTTTGGTTTCTGATGCATGAATCAAACTAGAGTGCTCCTTGTGCTTTTTTTGAGGGCTGTAGTGTGAAGGAAGAAATGTGGTAAAATATTTTTTTTTTACTTTGGAAAATGGAGACTTTTAAAAACCATATTAACCATATTAATCATATTAAAAAGCATTAATTGTATTTAATAATTTTAATATGTTTGCATATTTTGATTGCACAAACCAAAATTAAAGCATATATAAAAAAACCAACATTGGTAAGGTTTTAACTTCAATTTTTAATGTTAGTTTACAAGTGTGAAGGAAGGTGGTTAAATATCTACCAACTTGCCCTTTCTATAAAACATTTTAGTTCCCTAAATGAACAGAAGTATTAACCCCTATCTTTAAAGTATAAATAAAGGCAACACTTTTTCTTTTTGTTTTTTTCTTTTGTTTTAGACAGTGTGGAAAGGGATTAGAGCACCTGTCAGGTTTGTATCGCTGTCTGTATCCCCATTAGGGAGAGCCACTATCTCTATTTGTCATGTTTGGTCATCACCAAAAGTGAAAGAGACAGAAAATCCCAAATGTTGGGTCATTCACCAGAACAGGAATGGAGGAAAAATCTTCCAATAGGTACACTGAGGGCAAAAGAAAAAACTGACAGGGTTATAACCTTGCCTACTCTGTCTAAAATGAAAAAGGTGTTTTGCCTTTAGTTCTAAAGTGTATTTCCACATGTGCAGTTGTAAAAACTCTGCTATATGTTCATGTGTTCCCATTCGCACAGCATGTAAGATATTTTTAGGGTGAAACCTCATGGCTGAGTTTTTTTGCCCGCACAGCACAGACAGGTTTAATTATGAGAAACACAGCCGATCAGCCCCCTTATAACAAAGAGAACTGGTAAGATTTTATAATGGTGCAATTTTTAACTATTTTTAGGTTATGCTATGTTATTGAGAATATGTAACAAATATAAAGCAGGTATTATTCCAAGTTGGTTAAAAAAAATGGACATGCACTTTAAGCTCTTAGCTCTTGTTTCACTGAGGGAAGTTGCTTGGTCTAATAGGGTTTTTTTTTAAGAGTTAATGTATGGTATAATCTTACCCTTTTAACTACATTTGTTGCATTACAGGGCAGGCAGGTATTATATTCAACATTCCTCACACAGCTCACCACTTTTGTAAATCCAAATACTAAAAATCCATCAACAATAACAAACAAAAAATAAAATTCTCTAGAAGCCTTAAAAATGTTTTTCTCATAACACCTTCCTGAGCATAATTCTGCTTGTTCATGATTTACTCTCTCTGTCAGCATTTTTTGTCTTCCCATAATCTCTGTCTTTTTCTAATTTCAATACCTGTCCTTATTCACAATCACTTACCTGTACCTTTGTTGAAGGGTTTTAAGAGGATCTATTTTATTTTGCTTGTTCTTGCATGTTATGAAACCATTTTTATGTGATTAGCAAGTGCTAATTAGGCTACATGTACACTGAAACATTTACTCTACAGGAATGAATAAATGCCCAAGTGCTAAATTCACGTTTTTGCTGCGTTTGGCGGTTTTCGGCCAAAATGTTCCTCTCTAGAATGCGATTCTTCTGCATTCAGGAGAGGGACGTTTAACTGCCCCTAAACTCTGATAATTATAATAATATGATTATTATTGAGTTGAGTTCAGGGGCTTTGGCAAAAAAATCGCCAAAAGCTCCTAAACTCATGTTTAGGAGCAGCAGTGTGCATGAGGCCTTACTTTAAAACAAATTAGCATCTAGTCTGACCAGGAAATTAGTTGCAGCCTAAAAAGCAGCTAAAATATCATGCTGAAAGGTAGCACATATAAGAAAAGGCTGTCCTGATTAATTTACAAGTAGAACTGATTAACAGCACCTCCGATATAGCAGCAAAAGAGTTGCTGTTTACCACTTAGTTTAGTCATCTTGTAGAACCTCTAATAAAACTGACTTGACCATCAGGCTGCTATGCAACATTTATTTTATTGCTTGGTGAGCAGGTGTTTGATTCTCACATTCTGCATTTAAAGTGCCCCAAACACACAGTTCTCATCCTAGCAACTGTAAAATCACTTATATTGTAAATTCCTTTTTATTTTCTGTAAACAAAAATCTAAAATAAAACGGTTTGTACAGATGTGGTTCCTATGTAGAAAACAGTAATGTTGGTGAAGATATTAGACAAGTTAGAGGGATGAGCTAAACAGACCACATGAGTGCATGCCATATTTTATTGACTGGATGGTATTTTAGGACTGCCATCTTAGTAGTTTGTGGATAAAGAGATGTGTATGCCGTAAGCAAAGACTTAGAGTTTCTAAATTGGAGTAATCTGAATGTACATTTTGCGCATTGGTTAGCTTTGGGATTATACAGGGTGTTTTGGGTTTGATTCTCACCAAACACTATGTAAAAAAAACACTAAGTTGTGTTTTTATTTTTTTTGTCCCTCCTATATTGTTGCTAATTTCTTCAAGGTTTGGATGCATGAATGTGATAGGAACATTAAATTGTAAGCAGTTGTACTGTATCAGCTCATGGAAATACATTCTTCTGAATTCTTTGTTTTGAATATATGTAATGTAGAATAGTAAAAAAAATGATTAGGTTATGTACATTTAATGCAGGGTTTTACTTTGGAGGAACCCATGGGAAAAAAATTGAGATCTTGGGGAACCCTTGAAATAATTTTCACATCACATGGAACATTGGTGTGATCAGCGAGCTGTTGATATAACAACATTTTAAAAAAATAATAGAATATTCAGAACACCACCCTCAAACCAATAAAGAATACACCCCTCCACTACCTCTTCCAGGGCGTGTCCTCCACCTTTAAATCATACAAGAACAGTGTGACCCCCCCCCCCACACACACACACACAAACACGCACACACTTAATGCAGCTAAGAGCCTGATTCCAAGATTTTGGAAACAAACTGCATGACCCATCCTCCTGGACTGGAAGAAGGAGAATAGAATTATGGCAGCTGACCAATGGGCTCACACTACTGAAGACACTATCGAATAATTTGGGCATACATGAGTGGGATGAATATACTACTCTACTGAACTTGCAGATAATTCATTTTCAGCCTTGTTGAGGATAAATGTCCTCTATAGCCCATTTTTACCCATCCACTACGGAAAAGTTGGGATCCCTCCAGAGTCTGGACCGGTTGAGTGATGTCGGCCGACAGTGAATTTTAGCCCACTATTGTCTGCACTTCGTTCTGCACTCCTGTGACGTACAGGAGAAATAGGGCCAAAAGAGTTTTTGCTCTACTTCTCCTTTAAATAGTGGTCAGTAGCAGGAGTAATCAAATTACAGTGTAGAGTTAATGAACTACAGAAAAATTGCAGTCAACAGAGACTAAAGGTCCACTTTCTGGCAGAAAATGGTTAACATCATACTGTTCGTATGCAATATATATTTTTCCCTTGACTACAGAAATTTAAAAATATAAATTCATAGCTCTTAGAATCATAACGTTTATACAAAAGCATTATACAACCACTCTCAATTAAAACAACAGATAAATCATCCATGAATGGTAAATATTAAATTTTTCACTTTTTCATGTTACAGGAGGTCTCTTAACGAAATTGTTTGTGTATCTGCTCCATCTTTATATGGCGTGGGTCCAGTTCATGTGTTTGTCAGCGTGGACAGAGCCCAGATAGAGAGCAACCTACAGTTTGAATATATTGATGACCCGAAAGTCCAACGAATTGAACCTGAGTGGAGTATTGCCAGGTATGTTGACTCCATATTTGAAGAATAAATAAAATGTTATTTGATTTTTTGTTTCGTATGCTCCTGTTTCCATGCACAGTTCAAGAAAATATGAATCTGTTACTTGGCTAATGATTAAATTTCCTAAAATCCAAACAATGAATTTTTCTTATTTGTTTTCTTCTGCCCTGTGCTCTCTTCCCCTTTATCTTTAGCACTCCCTGTTTTTATCTTGGAAAAGTTCACTGACACATAGATCACTAATTTTCTTGTAATGGTGGTGATCGGCTACTTATAGCGGAACTGCGGTTGGCATTCTGACACTGGGTTGAATGACTTGGTGTCATTGACATCCCCAGGACACCAATACAGTGATCAGTGCTAATAAAAAGCACTGACACTGTACTAATGGCACTGGGCAGGAAGTTGTTAACAGCAATCAAAGGGTTAACTGTGTGCTGTTTTACATTGTGTCGCTGTGTTTGTGCTTCACTGTAAGCACACTGCTTTGCATGGCTGTGCTGTGCACAGCCATGCAAAGCAATGTGCAGGAGCTGACGGGGGAGATAACAGTTCTCCCCCCTGTCGGAGATGCTCAGCAATCACCGGGCGCTGGCGGGTAATCACCAGCTGGGACCTGGTGATTGACAACCACGTCTGCGAATGAAGGCGCAGGTAGGGCGTGCACACATGCGCCCCCTACCTGGACATGCAAAATCACATATATACATGTGATTTTGCGCACTCGTGCTGCCCTGTAGTGGTACTTCTGCTATAGGGCAGATGGAAAGTGGTTAAAAGAGAAGTAGGGTTTTTTTATTTTGCCCAATTATACTTACTTCGGTGGATGCAGCATCAATCCAATGCTGCATCTGTCTCCTGCCGGCTCTAAGTGTGAAAACTCAACGATCACATGATGGCTGATCGCTGAATTCTCACAGCCATTCTGAGCAGGGAGTGGTGACTGTCAGTCACCACTGTCTGCTCTGCCCCCCAACTAACTGGAGCACTGGGCGGTGGAGAGAGCGGCTAGCTCAGACTCTCAACGGCTCGCTGAGAGACTGAGCCAAGTGCCGCTCCAGACTCTTGGGTGAATCCCTACTTTAAAGTTGGGATCTTTCCCCAGCCTGGACCGGCTGAGTGACATCAGCCGACAGCAGGCTTCAGCCCACTGTCAGCTGAAAATGGGTCACAGGAGTGCAGAACGAACTGTACTCCTGTGATCCACAGGAAAAGTACAACCAAAAGAGCTTTGGCTGTACTTCTCCTTTAAAGCAGTATTAAACCCAAAAGCAAACATTTATTTTATTGCAGCTTACCAATTCTTATATGTCTGCATTAGTTCCCTTTTTTAGACTTTCTTCCATTTTCATCTGGTTATCTGGCCAGTAAGTCTGTCATTTTTCAACAGAAAAACTCTATTGCAGTTACAGGAAGGAGACCATTTACCACTGGTAGGGGTGCTTAAAATAATCAGCTTTTATTTATTTATGTAAAACCTCGGGCCCTGTTCACACTTGGGAGATTAGGAATTGGAGGCAGAATCGACTTTGCTGCGACAAACATGCATAGGGCAGCTTATTCAAGTGAATGGACTGACCTAAGGTCGACAAGTGGAAACACATGAAAATCACACAAACAAGATCGTGAGAGGGAACGTGAGTTCCGCTACGCAATTTGTGAATGGGGTCTTTCCCCAAAAGAGAAAGAAAATGTTTGCTGTAATCATAATGCTGGAGTTCAGCTTCAATTTGTTGCTGCATTTAAATCTGCTAGAGCATCTTTTATTCCCTTGCCCCCACCTGACAATGCCATTGTCCAAATCTGCCCCCTGTGCTCTTCATCCAGAGTGGTGTCTGTATAATATAGGAGGTGTGTTACTGGCCATATCACCAGGGAAAACAGAGGGCAAAAGTCTAAAAAAGGAAAACTAATACAGCCACTAACTCTAATGATTGGTAAGCTGCACTATATAACATTTTTTGTTTTTGAAAAAGAAATTTCGATCCATGTATGGGCAGGCTCGATCAACTTCATACCAGTTTGATCCTTGCAGTGATCATTGTATTCTGATAAATAAGAAACCTCCCGCTGTCAAAATACATAAGCTTAGTGGGAGGAATTCAGTGTTGATGGGGGAATCGAGCAATTTTCTTATCTGCAACCCGTGGTTGCTGGAAAGAAAAATCGTTTAATGTATGGACTGCCTTAAAGCTCTGGGAGTTGGGCCTTGTCATTGTATGTTAATGAGGGCAAACTCTGTGTGTCCCTCTTTGCCAGTGAGAACAGAAAGTTTGTTCTCATTTCAAATTGTTCAGTAGCTTGCAGCCTGCCCAATACCTGCTGCAAACAAGTACCCAGGAATGTAAGAAATATATATATTTTTTAACTACTAATAGGTATCCTGCGTGAAAGGGAGTGCATATCATATATACAGTGCATCCAGAAAGTATTCACAGCGCTTAACTTTTGCCACATTTTGTTATTATAGCCTTATTCCAAATCGGATTAAATTCATTTTTTTCCTCAACATTCTACAAACAATACCCCATAATGACAATGTGAAAGAAGTTCGTTTTGAAATCTTGGCAATTTATTACAAATAAAAAACAAAAAAAAACCACATGTACATAAGTATTTGCAGCCTTTGCTCAATACTTTGTTGAAGCACCTTTAGCACCAATTACAGCCTAAAGTCGTTTTGAGTATGATGCTACAACCTTGGCACACCTATTTTTGGGCAAATTCTCCCATTCTTCTTTGCAGTACCTCTTAAGCTCCATCAGGTTGGATGGGGAGCATCGGTGCACAGCCATTTTCAGATCTCTCCAGAGATGTTCAATCGGGTTCAAGCCTGGGCTCTGGCTGAGCCACTCCAGGACATTCACAGAGTTGGCTCGTAGCCACTCCTTTGTTACCTTCACCCCAGTCTAAGGTCCAGAGCATTCTGGTACAGGTTTTCAGCAAGGATGTCTCTGTACATTGCTGCATTCATCTTTCCTTCGATCCTGACTAGTCTCCCAGTTCCTGCTGCTGAAAAATATCCCCACAGCATGATGCTACCACCACCATGCTTCACTGTAGGGATGGTATTGGCCAGGTGGTGAGCGGTGCCTGCTTTCCTCCAGACAGGACACTTAGCATTCAAGCCAAAGAGTTCAATCTTTGTTTCATCAGACCAGAGAGTTTTGTTTCTCATGGTCTGAGTCCCTCAGGTGCCTTTTGGCAAACTCCAGGCGGGCTGCCATTTGCCTTTTACTGAGGAGTGGCTTCCGTCTGGCCACTCTACCATACAGGCCTGATAGGTAGAGTGCTGCAGAGATGGTTTTTCTTCTGGAAGGTTCTTCTCTCTCCACAGAGAAACGCTGGAGCTCTTTCAGAGTGACCATCAGGTGCTTGGTTACCTCCCTGGCTAAGTCCCTTCTCCCTCGATCGCTCATTTTAGCCGGGCGGCCCGCTGTAAGAAGATTCCTGGTGGTTCCAAACTTCTCCCATTTATGGATGATGGAGGCCACTGTGCTCATTGTGAACTTCAATGCTACACAAAATTTTTTGTACCCTTCCCCAGATCTGTGCGCTGATACAATCCTGTCTCAGAGGTCTACGGACAATTCCTTGCATTTTATGGCTTGGTTTGTGCTCCGACATGCACTGTTAACAGTGGGACCTTATGTAGACAGGTTTATGCCTTTCCTAATCATGTCCAATCAACTGAATTTCCCACAGGTCAACTCCAATCAAGTTGAAGAAACATCTCAAGGATGATTAATGGGAAAAGGATGCACAAGAGCTCAATTTTGAGTGTCATGGCAAAGGCTGTGAATACTTATGTACATGTGTTTTTTTTTTCATTTTTTAATTTTAATAAATTGCAGAGATTTCAAAATAAACTTCTTTTACATTGTCATTATGGGGTATTGTTTGTAGAATGTTGAGGAAAAAAATGAATTTAATCCATTTTGGGATAAGGCTGTAACACAACAAAATGTGGCAAAAGTTAAGTGCTGTGAATAGATTCTGCATGCACTGTATAGTGGGGTTTTCTCAAATATGACTGCAAAGGTATCAATACACTTTAAATTGGTAGTAAACCACATGTAAAATAAAAAAAAACTGGTCCCCCCTGCAGAGCAAAGTCATAGTGTGCTAGTATGTACCACATTCTAGCATCTTATGACAGATTTATCTGTGAAACAGATCCCTCCAGCGGTGCCTTGTCAATGGGGACCCAGTCTTCCTTCTGGCTTCCACTGGCTTTGGCCACTTAAATGTCACATCCACAGCACAGCTCTCACAATGGACAGCATGCTGTCGATTGAGAGCACAGTGTGCATGCGCCGGTGATGTCTCCAGCTGCTTCACATGTAAATACATCCTAAATGGTGCACGTTTGGGAGATATTTACGGTACCTACAGGTAAGCCTTATTATAAGATTACCTGTAGGTACAAAGCAAAAAAGGGAGTTTACTCCCACTGAGTGAATTTTTGGCAAATCAGCAGGTATTTGTACTTTCAGGGACTTTAAATAGATAAAGTACAGGAAAATGTGCAAGTATTGTAGAGATGTACCACATGCCATACACATACTGTATGCGTCTTTTGTGGTGATCCTAAACTGCAGACAAACAACTAAATACATAGTTGAAATACACATAGAGAAATAAAAAAGCAAACATTTTCCTATGCTAGTGTGTGATTTGGGGCTCCTGCATTTTTAGGTCCAGGTTAGTATTTCACTTTAAATCAAAAATGGAGAAAATAAAGAACCCATCATTCAATTCTAGCAGAAGGGTTAAATCGAAATTAGTATATCTCTTCCAGTGGTTTGTGATATGTCACAAATTAAAAAAAAAAAAGTACATAAAGATATGTGTGAAATCTTTTACATCCCTACATTGCCAAAGTCTTTCTGAATCAGGCAGTAACATCTCTCCACATCAGTAGGTGCCCTGCTTACATACTAAATAGATTTGTTCTAATGTTCTTTTAGAACTATGATAATACCTATACCAACAGGCAT